GATTGTACGACCGGTAATGCGATAGCTGATCTTCGTTTTTCCGATCCTTTGAAACGTTTAACTCGAAACCTTCCCAACGCGGGTGCATAGCTGAACGTGAACAGTCGAGCTTCGCACGTTATTCCTCGACGCGTACGATCGTCACGCTACACCGCTCCACCCTCTTTCCCTTAAACTGTATAGTTCTCCTCTCCTTCCTCTCAGTTTAAAAGCCGAGTAATACGCGTATTATCGCGTGGACGACGAGGCATCCAACGCGAGTGCACCGCGACCATTCCACTTGGATTCAGCCGCGACATCCTTTCTTTTCATCCGATAGGTCCGCGAATCGTTATTATTTACGCTACTCGGATGCTTCGTCGTCGTTTCGTCTCTACAAATTTCATCGATCGCACTTTCAGATTCGACCATCTTATGCCTCGTCAATTCGAAATTAACATTCAATTTGTTCACTCTATTATTCCTTACTGTATCTCCTTTCCTCTCTGTGTCCAGACTTTTAATATTACATGCGAAAATGCGATATAAACAAACAAATAACAGACAGACGTACAGACGAACATACAAAGAAACGCGCATACCGGTTCCAGCATTCTCCCACGTGTACCTGTCCAATCGTTCGCACATTCTCGCACTCACGTGTCCCCGCGGTTTCATGCTTCCACGCATTCACGGATTCACGGATTCACGGATTCACGGATTCACGGATTCACGGATTCATGGATTCATGGATTCACGCACTCGCGCAATCGCACAAACTGGCATAAATAAGGGCACATGCTCGTACAGAGTAAACAACGTATTCTGTACGCACACGCTTCAGTCGCTTCGATCGCTCCGATCGCACTTACGAGTCACCGACTCGTATAAATCTGAAAATTTGAAAACGTGAAAATGGTCGAGAAAGGAATAGAGACTTTTTCGACGGACAAATAGTCCTAATTTTACTGCCGAACGATATCTAGAAGCATAATTTAATACTTATATATGTATAGAAACTTCTATAATTTGGTCGATACTGTGCTCTACTATTTTTATATTTGTAGATATTCCCATTTTCCATCAATCACCCCCCTTTATCCCGATTTCGAAAAGTTGATGCGTCCCAAAATCACTTGGGATTTACTTTTCTCTCAGTTTTCTTGCTTTACGACTCCAACGGCAAGTATTGGCGCCGTAAACGAAAGCCAAAGTACAGCGAAAAGCGAGCAAACCTAAGAAAATATGGTCGATTGTGAGACGCAACAAACTGGTACGATCGTTTAAACGCCGTTACCCGAACTCAAATCTCGTTTCATTAACAAATAAACAAACAATTGGAAACAACGAAACGAGAAAGCGAATAATTTGTCTTTCAAATCGAAAATAAAATGAAAATTTTGTAGGGAAAAGTTGATAAAAGTGATAAATACGTTTATCGAGCGCTATATTCGTTAAGCGGATCGGGTTGGATCGGATCGGATCGTATCGGATCGAATTGGATCGAGTCGAATCGAGTCGAGTCGAGTCGAGTCGAGTCGAGTCGAGTCGATCCGATCGCAATAATTTGCCTAGTTTTCAATGATGCGAGAGGGCTAAAATTAACCCACCTGGCACCTCCGATCTCGAATAGGATAATAAACATAGCCGATCATTTTTCTAGAGACAACACAGATTTAACCCACCATCTGTCCCCCAGAACTTCCTTTGGTTACTGCTTGTTGCTGATTTAAGGACAATTGTCAACTTACGTGCGTGCTTTGTAAATTCTTCGAACAAGTCATCTCGGTCTCGATTCTTTGGAATATTTCCCACAAACAAGCGGTGATTGTTATAAGATACGGTAACACCAATCTTTTTCCCTTTCCGAATCTCATAATCATTCAGCTGTAAGAATAATGTGGAAGGAGAGTGCCAATTAAGCTTGCCTTTAACAATTTCACCTGCTTATTGGCTGTCTGAACGTGGGATTTCGTGAAGCGACCTTCAGGAAGGTTTGAACATATCGTACGTTCGGGTCGGGGCAAGCGAGTTCGCCGAGGATCGTGATGTATCGGTGGAAAGTGAATCGCGGAGGCAACGGCGGGAAAACTAACTGCATACGGTTGATGACGTAAACATTGGGGAGATAGATGGACGACAGTAGGAAGAGTCTGGATAGACTGGAAGACTTGATCAACGGGATACATGGCTAGACGTGGGGGGCGGTCCAGGCGCGTGCTCTGGACGCGTCACCTAGAACGGATCGAAACGAACTAGAACGGGCTAGAACGAGCTAAAACGGACTAGAACTAGCTAGAACGTGTCTAAATGGGCTAGGCGCCTGGATGAGTGGATAGGTGGATGGGAGTGCCTGTCCGTTTGTTAGCGAGCCAAACGCCCCAGCGGTCCACGCAAATCTCCCATACCCCCATGCTCGAGGCCCAGTCATGAATCGCCGCGTTAGTGTGTCGCCACGCAGAGGACACGAGCGTATAACCACGCGAAACACCGTGGGTACTTTGCATACACCGAATCATTATCTACCAACATAGCGACCAAACTAAGATTCGTACTCTATTGCTTCCACACATTTTCTCTCTTTCAGTTTCTCCGTCTCTTTTCCGCATTGTTCATGATGAAAAAGAAGAAAGAAAGAAAACAAAGAGAAGAAGAAAAAAAGAAAACAGTATTAAAGAAAACAGAGCAAAGGTGTGATCGACGAGTCGACCGTGAAATGCATCGTATCGAAACGACTCGAGTGGAAGTGTTAAAAATTATAAGAGCAGTCGAAGAAAGAGATGGTCTAGAAAAGCCAGGGAAAAACGAGATTGTGAGTTAAATGTGCAAAAATGGAGAGGACCTGAAGTAAACGGAGAAATGGACAGACAGAAATGACGGGAAATCAGAGGCTCGACGAAGCGATG